CCGTCCAAAATGGTAGCCGATAGCTACACGTGGCTTCGGGGCACTTCGAATGTGGCTACCAAAACTAAGGAACTGAATTTTTTATTTCATCTATTTTACTTTATTTAAATTTAAATAGTCACAGATAGCTAGTGGCTACTGTATCAGGCAGCCCAGCTTGTGTTCCTGCTCTCACTATCTCTCTCTCTGTCAAATAAATAAATAAATAAAATCTTTAAAAAAAAAAAATAGAGGAACATGTCAACCCAGTAGACAAATATTTATTATTTTAACAAATCAGTAGGTTCTCCATGGAAATGAATGTTCATGACCTTCTGGATGCAAATGTCACCCAGTACATTTAAAATGTATGCTAAAATCAAAATCCCTTTTTTTTTTTTTTTAAGATTTTATTTATTTATTCGACAGAACGAGACACAGCGGGAGAGAGAGCACAAGCAGGGGGAGCAGGAGAGGGAGAAGCAGACTCCCCGCTGAGCAGGGAGCCCGACGCGGGGCTCGACTCCAGGACCCTGGGATCATGACCTGAGCCGAAGGCAGACGCTTAATGACTGAGCCAGCCAGGAGCCCCTCAAAATCCCTTCTTATAAGATTATTTTCATGCTATGTTAAAGTGAAATCTCTACGGATAATTATAATTAATCATATTCAGTGTATTTAATAACATTCATTCCAAAGTATCAATTTTTTAAAAAAAAAATCAGTGCACTCATCAGTCACCAAGAGACTAATCTCTCGATCAGCTCTTTTGATGTGGAAACAATCTAACCCTAGAGTCACAGAGTTGCCTGTAGATGTCACAGCAGAACTCTTGGACAAAGCATTTCAACCTGTTTTCCCTTAGACTTCATAAGCTCATCATCAAACAGCTACACTGCAATATTACATCTCATGCACTATATGGAATGCATTTTCAGTATTGGCTCCCACAATAAATGGCTGTGTGTACACCTAAGCAGTCTTTTAGAGAATCGTGGTTTCACTGGTGTGACATCCAAAAGAGTGCCTCAATCACACTGAGGAGCATACTTTGCAAGACTCTAACTTACTCCTTTCAAAGATGTGATCAGTCCAGCAAAGTTATGCTGACATTCCGATGGGTTCTATTCCATTACATTGTACTGATGTCACATTCCTGGACAAAAAGATAAAGATCACAGTTGTCCATGAAATCCTCACTTTTGTTTCATGGACTGAAAAAAAATCCTGCCAACTTTTTCATGATCCTTCAAGGGCAACATTTCAAATATAATATCCTTCTCTGGACACTGAGCAGTATTTCAGTTATAACTGACTGCTTGGTCAACATTTGGGTGAAATCCCAGAACCAAACTTTTTTTTTTTTAAATAAAATTGTTTATGAAATGTTGCAGTTTAAGACTATCTGCAGACCTACCTAAACACAGCCCAAAAGGACCAATTTATGACTAGATAAAATGAAAAATGTTGTTGATAAGCCTAGAACAGCAACATAAAAAATGCTTAGTTGTAAGCAAAATAAATAAATAAAATCTTTAAAAAAAATAAAAATAAAAATAAAATGGCATATAAGGAAGGGTATTTTTTTCTTTTCTTAATAATTAATAATTACAATCATTAGCCACTGAAATGTGGTAAAAATGTAGCCATAAATGCAAATTTATATAATATGGGATTAAGGGAAGAAATGTGACTTTCCCGATAGCAAATGCATCAAATCTGATATCCTATAAAAAGAAAAAACAAGTCCCAGTGACATCTTGTTTTTTGTTCGCTTACCAATTTTCCATAAAAGTATAAAAAGCATAGGAAACTGTATAATATCCTAAGCAGTACAATGTAATTACCTTTCTACAAAATCAAACCATGGGCTGAATAGTGATGTCATCTTATTCCAAATGCTTTCACTATCCTCTGGAAAAGGCAACTTTTTTCCCCATTACTATCAGTGATGTTCAAGTCTCCCTTGACTTTTTTTTTTTCCAAAGATTTTATTTATTTATTTGACAGAGAGACACAGCGAGAGAGAGAACACAAGCAGGGTAAGCAGGAGAGGGAGAAGCAGGCTCCCCGCTGAGCAGGGAGCCCGATAAGGGGCTCGATCCCAGGACCTTGGGATCATGACCTGAGCCGAAGGCAGCCGCTTAACCATCTGAGCCACCCAGGCGCCTCCAAGTCGTCCTTGACTTTCAAAACTTTACCCAATTTCATGAACTAGAAACTCATCCCCACTCTTCTTCCTCCTTTGCACTAAGTTCATTTATGAAGCATCTCTCACATCATTTCAAAAATATGCAACAGCATGAATGGGGGAGACTCAGGCTACATAGGCTTCATTTTAGTAAAGAGAGAGGACAACATGTCTGCTAAATGGGGCGTCGGGTCTTCATTTACTCCAAGGTTCACTCTGTATTTCATTTTGAAGAGAACTCCACCCCTAGGCAACACTATTAGGAGAGATTCAAAGTCCATATGGCATCCAGGTAGGATCAATTTTGTCCTATCTGCTATAATATTCCACTTTTTGAAATACTCTTGTACAGAAATTAAGTCAGATGCAAGTTGTTACTACTGAGATGAAGGACAAATAGAGGAAATTCTAAAACTTCTTCCCTAAAAGTACATGTAGAAAGGCCTCAATAAACCTTAGCTGTTGTTATTCCACAAACATGTACTAAATACTTACTATTTTCTAGGCACTATGCTAAGCAGAAAGAGGTTAAAAAAAAAAAAAAAAACCCAGCTCACAAGGAACTCACAGTCTAGGGAATCTACAGTCAGTGAAAACAAAGATGGTTCAGTAGGCTAAATTTGCTCATAAAAATCTTTTATAACCCAAAAGCATTAAACCAAAGACTACTACTGTAGAAAAGAGGGATAGACTGTTTTTCAGTTCTGTTACTTTAGAAACATTACTGTATAGAAAAAGTTAACTCCTTATATGTAATAAAACAACTAATCTATCATATGTCAGGTTTCAATTCTGTAGCAGAATATATGTATATGTGTGTGTGTGTGTGTATATATATGTATGTGCAAAGTCTGATTTAACACATCCTTGCTAATTCCACAGTCTTGTATTACCTAAAATCCTAAAAGAATATAAATGGTCTAAGTCTTGGCAAAAAATAATATAAATGAATCAATTACTATACTCATTGAATAATATTTTCCTTACTTTCCCTTTTTGAATCATGTACAGATTTTCATTTTATCTAAGATTAGCATATGCTTATGTATTTCTACCCTAGAACAAAAAAAAATTGAGAAATTAATTTCAACCAAATTACCTAGCTTAGTAGTATTTATTACTGCACAAACTAACATCCTCTCTAGTGTATCCGGCCCAGCTTGTTACTACATAGATGTAACTTGAAGGAAACAGACTAAAGAAAGGTATGGGAGCTTCTTGCAGTTACGTATGCGCACATGTTGAGTTGTTTTATGCCTTCGTGAATGTCTACTCCATCAAGTACAGATCACTGCTCCTCCACCCCGAGGGATGCAAATGACCCCTTCCCCCAGGTATCCCCCTTTATCCATGGGGGATATGTCCCAGGACCCCCAGTGGATGCATGAAACCACAGTAGTACCGAACCCTGTATATACTACCCTTTTTCTCTCTCTCAAAATACGTTATTGTACTGTACTCACCCTTCTTGTGATGATGTGGGATAAAATGCCCATGTGATGAGATGCAGTGCGGGAAATGATGCAGACATTGTGATGTAGCGTGAGGCTTCTAATGACCTTGAGACAAGAGGTCAGAAGGCAGATTATCTGCCTCCAGGCCACAGATGACTGCAGGTAATTAAACCATGGAAGTCCAAACCGTGCATAAGGGGGAGCACTGTACACACACATGCACATGTACACATACTCACACCAGACATACTCTTGCTATATGAAACGAGTTTGGGCTTTGGAATCAGACACACCTAAGGTCAAACCCCTTCTCTGTAACTCTGAAGTTCGTTACCAAGTCCAAGTTTATCTGTGTTTAAGTGCTTCTTCACTACAAGGGAATCTGTTTTTGTTTTTGCTTTGCTTTGTTTTGCAACTTTTGCTAAGAATAATCATTCCAAAAGCCCAGGGAAACCAAGTGTCAAGGTACCCAAGATTTTTCCTCTTTTCAAAATGCTTCCCTAGGAAATGTGAAGGGCAACTGTAACAAAGGCAGTGGGGGGCACTGACAGAGGTATGTGGTTTATTCTTTCATTTACATTTTAGGTACTTTTGTGTATATATGTTACATATAATAAAAAAATAATATAAAATGTAAAAATGCCTCTCTACCTATTGTCATCCTTAGTAAAATGTATTTTCTGCCAAATGTTAAAAAAACAAAGGCTTTCTTCATGTACTCAACAGGATAGCGGGTAAGTAATTTTCTACTCTGCATGAATTTGGCACAATTTACTCCACGTGGAGTCTGTTTCCTTTAAGGGTACATCTATGTAGTAACAAGCTAGGCCAGAATACACTAAGAGGATGTTAGTTTGTGCAGTAATAAATATTACTAAGCTAGGTAATTTAGTTGAAATTAATTTCTCAATTTTTTTTGTTCTAAGAGAAATACATAAACATATGCTAATCTTAGATAACATGATTCAAAAAGGGAAAGTAAGGAAAGTTAAGGAATTTTTTTTTAAATAAAGGAAGTTTACATTAGTTTCCAAAGAGGCTTCTGAGATTAAAGAACAAAGAAAAACTAAAATACTTTTAAGCAGTCTGTGATAAAATCATGGTAACGTGCATAGAACAAATCATTTTCTAAATAGGCAATATAAATGATAATGATTACCTCTTTTAAAATTCAAAGGCAAAAAGAAATTCTATAATCTGACACGCCAATAATTTGTGATATTCCACACCCAGAAAAAAAGGGGGAAAAAAGAAAAAACCTCAACTAGAAAGTTACTATTACCTATAAAAAAATAATAATAAACTAAAAAGGACTGTCTCAGCTGAGCAATGAGCCTGGAGCTGCATGCCTGCATCAAACAAAATCTGCCCCATACCTTCCTCGATACAGTCTCCAGCAAGAGCAGAGAGCTGCGGGGAGCGCTCCTCCAGTATCTGCTGGTGAACACTCACACATCTCAAAGTCCACCACGGCAAGCTCTACGGAAAGAAAGTACCACGTAAGCTGAAAATAAAAGCCCCTCTAAAAAACAATGTTTATATTAATTGAAATTAGTGTTTAGAATTTTTTTAACATCTGTGAAATTAAACTTACTCTTCAACAAACTTATCCATCCACTGCTGTGTCCTCAGTAATAATACCCAAATCCGCTTCTCCCTCTTTCGCAATAACGCGTCTCCTCCATCCTCTCAGGGCCTGTATTTTTAGCCAGTTGGGCTTCCTGATGCCATTTAGAACTTAGTATCTCCTTTAAAATGTCCACTGTGGCACCCCGCTCAACGCCATGATCCACGCAGCCGCTCCCCCAGGAGGCAGAGTGTGTGGTGGGGGTAGGGGGGTGGGAGCGTAATTTTTTCCCTCCTCTGAAATTCTAGCATACTATTCGTACTACCTCCTTTGCAGACACATTCCGCTGCATTCATGGAGGTCATCCCTAGCTTTCGGTGTTGTCCACCATCTACCCAATAAGACAAGAAGTCATGTTCTGCTCATCTCTATATCCTCCTCAAAGCAATAGATTTTGCACAAACTACACTGTAAGAATTACCTTGGATTCAAATATTTTCCAAAACTAAGACAATCCCTTCCACATCCTCGTGAAACCCTCCCATGAAGCCTTCTCCCAAGAGGGCGGCACACGTTGGTCTCTCACTTCTCTGAACTTCTACAATGTTCCTAGAAGTTAGCACCACACTGGACAGCTCTTGTGTTTCAAGAGTTTAGGGGCACCTGGGTGGCTCAGTTGGTTAAGCGACTGCCTTCAGCTCCGGTCATGATCCCAGGGTCCTGGGATCAAACCCCGCATCGGGCTCCCTGCTCGGTGGGAAGCCTGCTTCTCTCTTTCCTACTCCCCCTGCTTGTGTTCCCTCTCTCGCTGTGCCTCTACCTCTCTCTGTCAAATAAATAAATAAAATCTTTAAAAAAAAAGAGTTTAACTCCACCTGGCCCAAACATTTCTGAGGACAGACTGCATTTCATACATTGTCTTGACTAATGCACAGGCAGAGAACACAGTAGGTTTTTCTCTATTGTCTGGTGTTGTTCTTACTTGATCACAATTAAAAAAAAGAGGGGGGGCTCCCTGGGTGGCTCAGTCAGTTAAGTGTCAGGTTATGGTCCCAGGGTCCTAGGATCAAGCCATCAGATTCCTTGCTCAGCAGGGAGCTGCTTCTCCCTCTCCTTCTGCCTACCACTCCCTCTGCTTGTGCTCTCTCTCTCTCTGTCAAATATATAAAATCTTTAAGAAAATAAAATAAGGGGCGTCTGGGTGGCTCAGTCGTTAAGCGTCTGCCTTTGGCTCAGGTCATGATCCCAGGGTCCTGGGA